GGTCCTCCCAGCCACCCGCCAGGGCAGGGCAGCCACCCACCCCGGCTGCCCCGCCCCTCACCCCACCCATCCCCTCGGCCCTCAGCGCAGGGATTGGGAGGACTGGCTGCTTCATTGCCACCAGCATCTGCTGCCAGCAGCTGCGGCAGGAGGGTGTGGTGGACATCCTGAAGACCACGTGCCAGCTCCGGCAGGACAGGTCAGCCCACGGGCAAGGTGGGGCACCTGGAGAGCATGAGCCCTAGGGGCAGAAGGGAGAGACTGACTGTGCTTGGGGTGAGGGGCAGGAGGGCACACTGGGTATGGACTGGCCGCTGGCTGATGGGGTAGGGAAGTCAGATGGGTGGAGAGGCTGGATCTGGACAGGCAGTGCTGGATGGAGAGGGAAGAGAGACAGCGGGCGGCCAGGACAGGCTGAGGGTGGCGGGAATGCCATCTCTGTCCCTGCTGTCTGCACCAGCGCTGGGAGGGGCAGGGAGGAGCTGAGGGGATTGCCTGGCTAGGGCTGGCCTCTCCAGCCTCCACGTAAACAAGGCCTCTCATGAGTGACCCCTCCCTACCATGCCTCTCTGCCGGGCAGGGGCGGCATGATCCAGACGTGCGAGCAGTACCAGTTTGTGCATCACGTCATGAGCCTGTATGAGAAGCAGCTGTCCCGCCAGTCCCCAGAGTGACCTCTCTGCTCCCCCCGAGGTCCTCCTGGCACCACCCAGCCTGAGTCTGGGCCCTTACCCCAGCCACACCCCCAGGGCCCAGCCTCAGGTCCCGGCCTGCTCCCTGCCCTGCCCCTCCTGCTTCCTTCTCTCCAGCTGGCCCTTACCCCCAACATAGCAATTCCTACTGTATATATTGGGGAGTGGGGCAGGGTGGGGGAGGGACGTGCCAGGCCAGGCCTGGGGCTCCAGGACCCGACCCACACCACGCAGACCTGGGGCCTCAGTTTTAACAATGGTTCCATCGCTACTTGATCCAAAATGTTTGTGCTGCATTCCAAGTGTCCTGCCACAGCGTGTTCTGTCTGTCCATCCATCTCTGCTGTCTGTACCGGACACTGTGTCTCCTCAGCCTAGGATGGGGTCATGAGCTCCAGGCCCTAAGCAGCCCAAGCAGAGGTGCCTTGCTTGGCCCCCACCCCACTTCTCCCAACAGGCAGATCGCATTTTGCCCTCAGTTATTGGGATCAGGATGGGGAAAAGGGCCAGAGGACCTGGAGGCCAGGCGTGGGAAGCTCCTGGGTGGGAAGAGAGATCTCATCTAGGGAGAAGTCTCTGGGTGCGGGGGAGGGGGGAGTATCACAGCCTGGATGGCCTCTGGGTGTCACAGGTCCTCAGGAGGCAGTGGCCAGCCTGCGAGGCATTGGGGGGGAAGGGGACAGATGGGGGCTGTGCACCCAGAGGACCTGGGCCCTGGTGGGGATGGGAGGGAGAGGGGAGCTCCGAGGGTGGGTTGGGAAATCGCCCCAGATCTGTGGGAAACGTTTTTCTGTGTCACCGTGGGAAGCCTTCCCAGGAGTCTTGCTGCGTGCAGCTCTGCGTGTGTTCCTGTGTCCACGCGTGTGTTGAGAGCCCATCAGCGGGGTATGCATGACTCTTTGGCAACATGTGTTATCTTGGAGCCACGTGTTTTTATTGCTGACTTTAAATATTTATTCCACGGCAGACAGAGACATTTGGTGTCTTTTTATAATTTGCTCGTGGTCATTGAATAGAGCAATAAACAGAGCATTTTGAGCAAAACTGGCCTCCTGGGTCTGTGATTGCCTCTCCTGTCCACTCCCTGCCTCCTAGTACTGGTCGTCTCCTCCTCCTCCTCTTCCTCCTCCTCCTTGTCCTTCTAGCTCTAGAGCTTCATCAATTTTATGGATCTTTTCTAAGTATCAACTTTTGTTTCTCTTGATATTCTTTATTTGTTCTTTTTATTTTATTGATTTCTCCTTTTACACTTTCCTTCTACCTGCT